AAGGTTCGATGAGAATCCTTGGATCAGAATCTCTGAGAAGGTTCCTTCTGAGCTTTTCATGGTGTGGGGTGTGGCGCCCCGACGTTCATCGAAGCACGTCCTCAGGTGAAGCTTGGGGATGGGCGTTCCAAGCCGGATGAGGTGAAGGTTGCCCTTGTGGAACTGACGGAGGAGCCTTCCGAAAAGGGGAATGCAACATGTGTCCAGGTTGCGTTGAAAATAGATGTACTGGTTTCAGTTTGGTTTTACTCATTTAACAGTGCCATTCATTTTGACAAGGAGACCGAGAGAGAGTGCATTCGCACCTGCAAACTGCCGGCTGTTGACATTGGCAGCAGCTCCTTGACAACAAGGATCAATCGAAACGGCTTGGGGGCAGCAGTGAGGCAACTTCGAAAAGACCTGCAAGCAAAACCCGCGAGCAGAAAGTGACATACCCGAGACCCAGGCAACAAGCAAAATCAACTGCCAGCCTGGAACGGGGCACAACTGCGTCTGCCTGTTGCAAGCTTGCACTGCACGTCACCTGGATGCATCTCGCTGGCTTGAACTCATTGCATGTTACGCGGGTACCCTGACCGCCCAAATCACTCACTAGGTCGAGGTCGGCCTTTCCAGGAGGAACTGCAGGAGAGGCGTGCTGGCTGGAATGAGGCGCTGGAGCGCGCAGGCGCCTTTATCGCAGATGCAGCTTATTGCAGCAGGAGAACATGGGGCAGGTACCCAGGCCTTCCCAGGCTTTCCAGACTTGCAAACGAAGTGTCAGCATGGCGAACTTTTTGTTAATGTTGAAACGCATGTGGAAACATGAACTGTGTTTGAAATGCTTGACCATAATGGCCCCGGCCATTTTGGCTCAAGCCTGGATATTGGGTTCTCTGAACCCAACTTTGTGGAAAAACTTGAAAGGTAGCACTTCCGAAACAACCCCGAACCAGCAAGGGCCTCCTCAGCAACTTCGGCAACGTCCTTTGAGTTGATTGAGGACCAGGCACTCACCGCGGAGGAGGTGGAAATGGCCAGCCAGGAGGCCCAGGAAGCCCGCACACGCGAGGCGGCTGTGGCGGCCGGCCTGGTGTTGGATGAGCCCGAGGCGCCCCCGTCGGCATCGGCCACCGATGTGATGAACGACCTCTCCAGTGCACTGGAGCGACTCCGCGTGGCCTTCTCCACACCGACTCCCGGCCTGGGTGCCCCTGGCCCCGCCGAGGACGAGGACACGGAGATGAGCGATGCGGTCACCACGGAGCGGGCTACTGTGTAAGGCATGCGGCACGGGATGGCCGGAGGCAGCCAATCAATGCTGGGTCTGCCCGGGCAAGGAGTTTGTCCCCTTCCAGGCACCCTCTGCGACCTACGAGGCGGACGGCGTCACGTACAACCTGCTCATTGTGGAGGGCAAGCCGACCTGGATCCAGCAGCGGGATGGGGGAAGCCTGGGTGCCTCTGGCCCCGGTGGTACCCGGGCGCAGGCAGACCGCAACCTGGTGGACGGCACGATCCTGGGGAGAGCTCCTCCGAAAACGGACACGGCAGAGGAGATCACCATGGCTGATGTGGTCCCGCTTAACAGGCGGGTGGATATCCGGCAGGAGATCCTGTCCATGGAGGACGATGAGGCGTTGAAGGTCCGGGAGCGCCAGGAGGTCAAGGTCAAGGTGCAGCGGTCCTTGCAGGAGGCAGAGGCTCAGAGCTTCCAGCTTTACCACCCCCAGGTGGACCAGGCGATTCGGAAGAAGGAAGAGCTGCACAAGGCCTTGAGGGAGCACCGGGAACCGACCCCGGAGGAGTCATCGGCCAGGCAGCGGCACAAGGAGCTGATCACGGATGAAATGCTGGACAATGAGATGGCAATCCTGGCGCCTCTCCAGGAGGGCATGCAGGCCCTGCCGGCAGAGGAGGTGGCCAACGAGGGAGCCCGGGCCCTCAGAAAGGTCAACCTGGAGCGGTTCAAGGCCAAGCTACGAGATCAGTACCTGGAGGGTAAGGGTGTCGACGCCAGCCAGGCACTGGCTGATGCGATGGGCTCCATTCAGGAGGCGCAGGAGGCGAACAAGCGCACCCAGGACACCAACCAGGCATGGATGCTTAACTCCAGCCCTTGGAGGTGTCGGCATGGCCAGATGACCTCAGACAGGCTCTGGAGAGGGGGCTGTTCTGCCCCCTGGAGCTGGATGACCCCGAGGACATCCCCAATGTGGGGGACATCAAGGAGAAGTACGTCCCCTACATCCGGAGGCTCAGAGAGGCACAGAACCCGTGGAACCAGGAGCGTTGCTGGAGGAGATGCCCGATCTGGCGACGCCGGCCCCCCCCAAGGGTGCCACTGGCCCCGGGTTGGACCAGCCAATGCCACCGCAGGACCTGGACACGGAGGAGGGGAAGCTGTCCCTGCTCCTCTGGGCGATGAAGAGGCACCAAGGGGAGCTGCGGATGTTTGGGGGAATCTGGAAGAAGCATTCCAGCGGCGAAATCCCCAAGGGCGCGGACCAGCAATTCAAGCTCTCGCCGGAGGAGCTCCTGGCCCTGGAGCGCAGGACCCACCCACTCACGTGTGAGCGGGACCACATCGACCCGATCATCTACTCGGCCTTGGAGATCCGAGCGCAGGTGAACCGGGGTGAGCGCGGTGGGGATCTTCTGGGCTAAGGGCGATGGCGTGTTTTGGACAAGGCAGACTCGCACGTGGGACCTGCCGAGCTTGACAGGGGTGTACGCCCACCGATTCACCTTCAAGTACATCTACTCGGCGTGGGCCACATTCCCACTGGTCGTGAAGACGCAGCGACGGGGCCGCAATGCGGAGGGCTCGACTTCGGATAAGTGGATGGGGAACATCCTCCAGATGCGGAAGGAGGCGGTCCCCTTCCTGGAGAGCCTGGGAATCCCCAAGCCGCGCACGAAGGCGGAATGGAGCTACATCTTTAAGGAGATGGGGACGTTTCTGGCAGCCAAGAACTTCATCGTCAATTGCCCGTTGCCGGTGATGGAGCTCCCAGTGGCCCCTGTCCACGACAGCAAGGAGGCCCTGCGTTTCAGGGCGGTCTGTGACGAGCGCATCACGCTCCCGCTGTCATCGTTGAGGGCTTTTGACTCGGTGTACACCGAACTGGTGGCAGGCCTGAGTAAGTCCTCCATGGTGGAGATCAAGGTCAACTGGCGGTGCAACGTGGTCCATGACTGGGTGGAGCCGGTCCTGCAGGAGGCGGCGGGGGTTTGTACGACTGTCTGGGCTACTCCCAGGACCTGATCATGCAGCTGGGCTGCTCCCCCCCCTTGGGTGCCTCCGGCCCCGGGGGCGGGGCGGCCAAGGAATCGGACCCCAAGGCCAAGATTCTGGCGGGAGCGGACACCACGCTCCGCACGCCGGACCAGGGCACCAGAAGGTACCCCCCGATCACCACGTCCACGGTCACGGCAGTCGCGGGCAAGAAGTACACCAACAAGCACTTCCCGGTGGGAACCAAGCACGTGTTCTGGGCCTCGGTGGAGTGCGGCCTGGTCCTGCCCAGCATCAGCGCATGGGAAGTGGTGGGCAAGGAGAAGTTCAAGACCACCGGGGGCTACATGTGCAGGTTCTGCAAGGGCTTCTGGAAGGCGAGCCGTGGGGGGACCCGGCTGCTCCAGATTACGGGGTGGCACAAGGACAAGGCCACCTGCCTGCAGCTGGTGATGGACGAGCCCCCGGAGCAGCTATATAACCAGTGGATCCGGGACAGGATGGAGTTCTACAAGCGGGTGGAGCCGACGGAGCCCCCCAGGGACGAGCGGCTAGTCCTTGGAGATGCGAGCACCCCGCGCATGCGCTTCAGCTCTTCGAACGGCCTGGGGGATGTCTCCACTGCCCTGTGGTCGGTCATCCTGAGCAACCCGGAGAAGTCAGGGCTGGCGGCCATCCACTCGGTGGCAAAGGAGGCGATCTTGAAGGGTGAGAGCCGCTAGGTCGTGTCTCACTACCCTTTGGATGTGGCGTAGTCTGTTCTTCCCCACCGGGACTTGGGTGCCTCTGGCCCCGTCTTGGGTGGGGGGAGGTTTTGGGGTGTTTTCCCTTCTTTTGGGGTTCCTTGTTCACCTTGGTTTCCCCCCTGTCTCAACACGCCACGACTGCCGGTTGCCTCGAACCGGAGGCTGCGCAATTCGGTTGCCCCAAGGACGGGCCGTATCGGCCACTGTTTGAAGAAAGTGGCTGCGGCCGACTCTGGGTTCCCTGAGGTCCCCTGGGGGTTTTGGGGAATCCCCCGTTGGGCTGGTCTTCCCCCTCCGTGGTTCCTGTTGGGGATTTCCGGGGGTTTGACTTTTGGGCCCTGTTGGGCTGCGTGTGGCCTGCCTGCCCCATGTGCATCCGGCATACTGTGGGGTTGAAACTTTCGTGCAGTTTGCCGCGGCTGGGTCCCGGCCGTTCGATAGGAGGCTCGAACCCTTGTTTTCAGCATGGTCAGGGTCTCTACACGGTTTCTGTTGCGCCCGCCTTACACTCGTCTTTGGGACCGGATCCCAAGGGTCCTTTGGGACACGCTGGCGGATGAGTCTATCTCCCCGAGACAGACGGACGGGGAGCTGCTGGTCCTGATGTGCCTGCGCCATGGCACGGCGGAGGAGGGGAGGCAGCTGGGCGGGGAGCCGGCCCTCCGATTCGCTAAGCTCCTGGAACTCTCGGGCATCCCGGTGGACCAGACGGACCAAGTGGTACCAACTGACTACTTCAACGGCCTGGTGGCGTCGGCGGCGGGCAGGCTTCCCCAGCCCTTGTCCGCGGGGGACCTGGCCGACCTTTGGGATAGCCTATGGCTCCTCCTCATGGCGGCTGCGGACGGCAAGCTCAGCGAGAACTTTTCCCCGCTGGAAAATGAGTGGGACCGCCAGGACCAACTGAGGTGGTTCTCGCGAGATGACCCACCCCCACTACAACAGCCGGAGCTTCTGAAGTGGCGGCATTGGAGGCCCGGGAAGATCAGGGAAATGGAACCCACGACTCAGCGTGCACTGGAACTCCATATGCGCGGGAAATGGGCGGAACGGCTCCTCGCCCACTTCGCCCCTTTTGCGGAGCACATTGCGTACATGGAGGACATCCTGGGGGAGGACTTCCGCAAGGAAGCACTGGACCTCTTGGGGGATAGCAGGTTCCGGACGCTCAGGCAGCACTGCCTGGTCTACGAGAGTCTCCGCAAGAGAGGCTTCACCGTCATCCCATGGCAGGAACGACATGTCCGTTCTCTCCTCAACCAGCTCGCCGATGAGGAGGTCACCCCGTGCAAGGGCAGGTGTGGAACACCCTCAAGTGGTTTTCCAAGACCTTCGGACTGCTGAAAATAGATGAGCTCCATCGCCTCAAGTCCAAGAAGAGCTCATTGGAAGAGGCGCTCACGGACACGGTCACCAGGCCACAGCGTAAGGCGGTGGTCCCTAGCAAGGAGGTCATCTGGGCTCTGGAGGAGGGGGCCGGCTACGATCGCCTGGGTGCCACCGGCCCCGGCACGCAGGAGGCCCCGGGCAAGAACAGACACAAGGTGCTGGACGCTTTCATCCTGGGGTTCGCCCGGTTCCAGGTGGGGTGCAGTGCTCGCTTCAATGACCTGCAGCATGTTCACCCCAAGGACCTCATCCACACCAGCAACACTGTGGAACTGAAGGCCTGGCAGACGAAGACGGTCTCCGCAGCACGAATCA